TGGAATTGTGACGTCACAATTTTTCCGAGGCATACATATTGGCGGGTTAAGTAGAGAAAAACGAGGTCGAAAAAAACATTAATTCGATTCGAAAAAAAAAAAAAAAAAAAAACAAAAACAAAATGGGGAGCAATCGTTTCGTTATTTACCCCCTCAATAAAATTTTTTTTTCGATATATCCTCACGCATTGAAATATTATTATTATTATTATTATTAAAAAAAAAAAAATTAATACTCGAGACGTCCCTGATCCGCTCCGATTTTTAGGTCGGTATTTTAAAAAGTTATTATTTAAATCTCGTAAATCAAAATTTCGGACAAAAAAAGCGAAAAAAAAACAAATGACATTAAAAAAACATTAACATTTATTATTATTATCATTATTATTATTATTATTATTATTATTATTAAATGAAATAATGAATGTGTACATGTACAATTCGATCAGGTGACAAAATAAGAATTTATCGATTTAAATGATGATAAAATTAAAAAAAAAAAAAACAAAAAAAGAGAGAGAGAGAGAGAGACTATCGTGTCAGGGTTACCACCCGAAAAAAAAAAAAAAATTAACATAAATAATATTATTATTATTAATATTTAATAATAGGCTATCGAATTTTTTTTTTTTGCGAACACCGTTTCGATTATTATTATTATTATTATTATTATTATTATTATTATCAGTTTCTAATTGATAAAGAAAACAATAAACGTGTTTGTTGTTTGTTTGTTTGCTCGTTTGCTCGTTTGTTTGTTCGTTTGTATGTAATTTTCGAGTTCGTACACGAAAAGTTTTTGATTTAAAAGAAAAAAAAAAAAAAATTAACGCGATATTCCCCCCTCCCCCCGCGATTCTATCGTGATCGGAAAATCATCATCTTTACCCCCCTCCCCCGGGCACGGGGGAGCCCCCCCCGCGGTTATTTTTAATATTATTATTATTTGTTGTTTTAGACAACAATCAATTTTACAACATGAGCGTCGTGAGAGGTTGTTACTACGATAACATGGACGGAAGAGATCTTTGCACTATGTTAAGATCGAAAATCGTCGATCAATCGAATTTGCCATTTTGCGAAACGTGTACCGGAGATTCGTGCAACGGTTCTTCTAGAATGTTCGGATCAACCACCAACACATTATTATTCATTACTTTATTACCAATGATTGCTTATTACTTTAACACGCACAAATTGTAATTTGTTTTTTTAAAAAATAAGATTATGTTTCGTTAGTATTAATATGTAAAAATAATAATAATAATAATAATAATAATTTTCGGGTATGTTAAAAGGTCATTAACTATTTTTGCACGTGCGTAACCACGCGTGCAAGTAATTAAAAAAAAATATAACGCTTGGTAGTGGTTGTTTTATTCTATGTAAACAATGGTAGAAAGTAATCAAAAATGTTTTTTTTTTTAAATTTAATTTCAAAATGTTTTAGTTTTACTTTTAAATTTTCTTCATGACACGATAATAATAATAATAATAGTCCAACGATTAATTGTTTTACATAAATAAATAAATAAATAATGTGGAATCAATAAATAAATGAAATTATTATTAATTTTTTTCCCTTCTTTGTCTGTATCTAACGTAATAAT